GTGATAAATCAGCTTAAAAAAATAACAACTTCAGTGAGCTATAATTTGCATACCATAATATAATGGTCATTCTTTTAAAGTTTATGATTCAGTGGGTTTTTAGCATAAAATACCGATTTGTGCAAACACGGCCACTATATAATTCTGGAATATTTTCAGTCTCCACAAAGAAACTTCATCTCTATTAGCAGCCACTCTCCATTCCCCAGTTCTCTCCATTAGACCCTAGAAGCCACTAATCTATTTTTTTATACACACTCTATGTATTTGTGTTTTGGACATTTTGTATAAGTGGTGTCATACAATATATGTTCCTTTGTAACTGGCTTCTTTTATTTAAGACAATCCTTTCATGGTTAATCCATGTTGTAGCATATATCAATAATTTATTCTTCTTATTGCCAATAATATTCCGTTGTATGTATATATCACATTTTGTTTATCATTCATCAATTGATGGATGTTACCACTTAGTGGCTTCTAGAAATAAAGCTGCTATGAACATCAGCATACAATTTTTTTAATGAACATATGTTTCCAATTTCTCTTAGGCAGATACTGAGTAGTGAATTAGTAGATACTTAGTAGGAAGTTCCAAACTATTTTCCAAAGTGACCACACCATTTTTATTACCACCGGAAATGCATGAGAATTTAATTTAGTTCGCATTTTCTCCAACACATTTTATGTTTCTCTTTTCAGTAATAACTCATTTAATTTGAGGTGGCATGTTATTGTGGTTTTAATTTGCATTTCCCTAATGACTAATGATGTTGAGCATCTTTTTATATGCTTCTTGGCCATTTGTATATCTTCTTTGGAGAAATATCCATTGAAATCCTTTGCCTATTTTTTAATTGGGTTATCTGTCTTTTTATTATTGACTTATAAGAGTTCTTTACATTTTCTGGATAAAAATCCCTTATTGTATGTGTGTTTTGCAATATTGTCTCCAAATGTGTGGATTGTCTTTTCACTTTCTTAACAGTTTCATTTGAAGCACAAGTTTTAATTTTCATGAAGTTTATCTTTTTTTTTCTTTTGTCGGTTGAGTTTTTGGTGTCATATTTCAGAAATCATTTTCTAACATTTATAATGTTAGCTCCTATATTTAGGTTTATGTTCCATTGGAAGTTATATTTTAATGATATGAAAAAAAGGTCCAACTTCATTCATTTGTATGTGGATACCAGTTATTCCAGCCCCATTTGGTAAAAAAAATATTCTTTACCCCATTTAACTGTGTTGCTGTCTCTGTTAAAAATCAATTGTCCATAAATGTAAGGGTTTATTTCTGGGCTCTCAATTGTATTCCACTAATCTACATGTCTATCCTTATACCAATACCTCAGTCTGAATTACTGTACAGTAAATTTTGTAGTAAGTTTAAAAATGGGAAGTGTGAGTCCTTCAATTTTCCTCTTTTGTAAGATTATTTTGGCTATTTTGAGGCCCTTAAATTTCCATATGCATTTTAGGATTGTTTCACCAATTTCTGCACAAAAAAAAAAAAAAGAGCAGCTTGGATTTTTATATGGATGACATATCTACAGATCAATTTTTGACTCATGAACATGGGATACTTTTCATTTATTACAGTCTTTAAATTCTTATAACAATGTTTCGTAGTTTTCAAGGTTTTAGTCTTGCACTTCTATCACTAACTTTATTCTTAAGTATTTTATTCTTTTCTTGCTACTATAAATGGAACTGTTTGTTTAATTTCATTTTGGATTTTTCATTGTTAGCATACAGTAACAGTTTTTAAAATACTGTCTTATATTCTGCAAACTTGTTGAACTCATTTATTAGCTGTAATAATCGAGTGGGGCTTTTAAAGACCACATTCAAGGTATGCGATATATCTAAAGCGCAACAGGAAGGCATTGGGAGTGACACAATCAGAATTACTTTTTAAACAGTTATGCATGATGGATTGTATTCCTGTCCCTCCTGAAATGAAACTGAAATGAAAATAGAGCAATAAAATGGCTATAAACCCAAGAGAACAAAAAGAATAGAAGACAAGAGATGACAAAAGCCCAAAAAATGTCAGTAGGTTTATAAGATGGAAGCGGGTGAAGTAGTTGAAACTTCCTAACCCTGAGTCATCCTTCAGTTAAGCCCATAGGTTATAAGCTTTGCTAGTATATTTGGGGCTTCAACTTCATATTACAGTGTTCTTAAATATAAATGGAGAGCATTTATATTTAGTCATTTATATCAGCAGACACCTAAGATAATCCTACAACATGAAGAACAGCAACTAAACAAAAAAATTAAAAAGCAAGTTATTCAGAGAAAAAAGACACAAGACAGAAACAAGGAAAAGAAGTTAAAAATACATTGTTAATATGGTTGAAAAATAAGCACAGACTGTGTATCCTTAAAATAGAAAACAAAAAAGATCAGTAAACAAAAAGTATTGATATCTTAAAACTATAATAGCCAATAGTTGAAATAGTAGAGATTTAATAGAAGGTTTAGAAGAAAAAGTCTAAGAAATCTCCCTAAAATTAGAGTGCAAAAAATAAGGGTGGTAGAGATGGATATAAAAGAGAAAGGAAAATTGAAGATTCAATCCTGGCAGTCAAAAATACAACATAAATGAGTTCCAGAGAAGGTTTACATGGAAAAATAGAAAGCAGAGAATTCTTGAAGGAATAAATCAATAGAATGTCTCAAAATTGAAGAACTCAAAACTGAGTCTCTGAAATGTTCACTGAGTATCTGTCAGGACAAATGAACAAAGTGAACACCATGGAGAAAGAGAAGAAACCAAACCTTCCAAGTGATGAATCAGATTGGTTAAAAGGGTCTGGGGTCAGAATAAAACTGGACCTCTCGATAGCAATACTCATCTGTGCAAACCAGAAGTCTAGTCACCATCGTCACCAATTAGAAGTGAATTGTGATGCCATTCTCTGAATTAAGAAATACAGGAGCAGGCCAAAGTGTGTACAAGAAGTTAGAATTGGACTCTTATGTATCTGAGGTAGCTGTAGAACACAGAAAAGGAAGGTAGGACTTTTTTAAGTTATAATTTAATCTTTGTCACTGATCTTCATTCAGATGGAGCTCAGCTATTCTGAGATTTCCTCATTTATCCACCCTTTTAGTTCTTGTCTTAGTTCCACTCTTATAATATTTGAAATTATAGTCTCAGGGATGATTCCCCCATTCCCATCCCATCCCATCCTTATCTACCTAACTCGCTCTCCTCCAGATTTTGAAAGGGACATGGGAAAGGGAGAAAGAAAGAATTGGAAGATTAAGAAGCAGGGAAATGACAGTGCTAAGCATTCAAAATTACCACTTAGAAAAGCTATGGCACATATATACAATGGAATATTACTCAGCCATAAGAAGAGATGAAATACTGCCATTTGCGACGACATGGATGGACCTCAAGATAATCATGCTAAGTGAAATAACCCAGACAGAAAAAGTTGAAAGTCGCATGGTATCACTTATACGTAGGATATAAACCTAAAAGCAACGAACGAACAGGACAAACAAACAGAGACCCATGGACATGGACAATAGACTAGTGGTCACCAGAGGGTAGGAGAGAGGGGGGTCAGGGGAAGTAGATGGTGTAAAAGGGGTCAAATATGTGGTGACAGAAAAAAATCTAACTATGGGAGGTGAACACACAGTGTAAATATATATGCCTTATTGTTAAAGTATATAGCTGAAACTTATTGGATTTCGTTAACCAATGTCACCATAAAATAATTAATCAATTAATTAATTAAAATAAAATAAAACATAAAACACACATACACACAAATTACCACTTAAGAGGCTAGTTTTGCTTATAGAGGAATTCTCTTAGGCTCTTCATCTCCAGACCAATTCCTCCTCTACATAATGCATTCAGAAATCATTCACAAGGAAGCTGTGATAAAGCCCCTTAAAGCCTGTATTTTCTATCAATGCCTCATATAGTACTTCACACAGCAAATGGTGCGGGAGTAAATGTCGGTCTAATCTGTTTCCCCTTCCTTTACTAGTTTTAGCACCTCCTTCAGGGTGCGGGTGGGGAAGTATATGCAAATCTGTATTGTACGGTTTATTCGTTAGGCTCTTGTTAGTTGAAATAGTTGGAAATATTTTTAAAGATCATGAATTGAAATTCTTGTCATCTTATCCTTCAACATTGAAAAAAATTATCCTGAATGCAGTTTCTACTCTTCCCAAAACTGCTTTGATTCACCTACTAATGAGCTGTGAGATAGTCTAAAAAATAAAGAAAAAAACCCAAAACTTTATGGTATTAATTTTAGATAAAAGCAAAAATATTTCAGATAAATTAATTCATAAAAATGAATATCCATATGAAATTAACTCTCCTCGTTGTGGAAGCAGTAGCAACAGGCCAGGAACAGCATAAACAAATACCGGGTAAGTTATTTTCAGCATGTGTTCACTTAATATCTAACACTGAAATCAAACATAAGAAGGTCATTAAACAGACCTTCCTCATTACTCCACTTAAGTAATTAGAGTCTGTAAGTAGAATAAAGTACTCATTTTGTCTTCCCACACAACAAGTTTGTTCATACAGTAAATATGAAAGCACACCATTGCACTGCAGTTTGTTTTATGTGGGTCTGTCTGGATTGTGGAGGCCTGGAGGGGCAAGGACAATTGTGAAGGGCTTTATTAATGTGTGTTACTTCACTTAAAACATACAGTAGATATTTAATATTTTTTAATTGACAGTGAAATTATTTCTTTAGTCAATCTGATCTAAATGCCACCCAAATCAATATGTATAAAAACGAAGCCTGCGGATTTTAGTTTGTCTTAATTCATGATAAAAATAGTCCTAGTTATACCAATTGTCCTATGAATCAGGTCAAAATGATTCAACTAATGAATGCTTACCTACTGGAATGCTATGCCTAATATTTATAGTAAGCCTTTACCATGGTGTACTTACAGAGGAAATAATTTATCAAACTGTCAAGCAGTTTAAATAAAACTACCTAGGGACATGGTAATGAGATTTTGGCGGGCCCTTCTCTGTGGGCCGCTCAGTGGACCCACGCCAGAGTAACTGGAGCCTCGAAACATTGTCCAGCCCCTCACCTGTGGGCTGAGTGTACTGAAAGGGCTTGTACAGTGTGAAAAGGAAGAAAAAATAAAATAAATAAAATAAAATACAATAAAATAGTAAAGTAAAATAAAAATAAAATAAAATAAAAAAGACTACCTAGTCACTAGTAAAAATATGCTAAAAAGTTCAGGATATTCCACTTCAAAAGTAAAAAATCTTCAACTAATAAAGGTTAAATCAATTCTCAGGTTATGATATGGGATCAAATTTGCCTGAAAACAACTTAAAATCAACGTAAATGCATTTACTGTAACCCTGTGGCACATGTTAATTAACATTGTTTTGTAGCTCTACTTCCGTTAGTGATCTATGTCCATTTGCATTACAGAATTATAAAAACAGGAGAATTCAAGATCCTCATTTTAGTTGTTATTGAGTAGTATGAGTTCTTTGTATATTTTGGATATGGGGCTCTTATCGGAGGCGTAGCTTGCAAATATATTTTCCCATTCGGATGGTTGTCTTTACCTTGTTGATGGCTTCTTTTGCTGAGCAGAAGCTTTTTAGTTTGATGTAGTCCCATTCATTTATTTTTGCTTTTCCTTCCCTTGTCTTTGAGGTCAAATTCCTAAAAATCCTCTTTAAGTCCAAGGTCCTTGAGTTTCGTTCCTATGTTTTCTTCTATGCATTTTATTGTTTCAGGTCTTACATTCAGGTCCTTAGTTCATTTTGAGTTAATTTTGGTGTGTGGTGATAGATCACACTATAGACTAGTGGTTACCAGAAGACTATAGAGTAGAGGTTACTAGTGGGGAGGATGTGGAGGGGGTAGATAGATGGGGTAAAGAGGGTCAAATATAGGGGGGTAGGAGGAGGGTGAAGTGGGTAAAGGGGACTGGATATATGGTAGCTGAAGGAAACTGGCCTTTGGTGCTGAATGTACAATAGAATATACAGATGTCAAAGGATAATGTACACCTGGAAATTATCTGATTGTATTAACCAATGTTACCCCAATAAACTTAATTAAAAAAAAATTCTCATTTTACAGACCTGAAAGCAAGTTTTTCAAGGCTAAGCAGAGATTTGTGTGTGCCGAATTTGAATTTAACCTCCCCCCCCTTTAATACTCACACCTTTTCAATACTTAAGTCACTTGCAAGAGTGATAAAGGGAGTCATGTTGTGCATTCTCAATTACCAATTACGGATTAATAGCCAGAATCCTGACTATTAATACAAATAACATATTTTGTTTTGTGATTTAAGAAGGTTAAACAATTTTTTTTAAACAGGTAACAAATTTAAATTTACCTATCCATAGTATTTATGCGTAAATACTTCTTAGGTTAAATATTCTGTGTCTAAAACATCATCTTTAGAAATCATTTTTAAAATGTTTTCCAGGGATGTCTTACTTTTTTGCATGGATGTCTGGTTTGATTATGCAGCTACACTTTTTTTAAAAAAATTAATTGAACTTTTTCAGTTTGTCTTCAGTTAAAATGACTTTCGGAAAAGTAGAAGCGGATAGAGTACAGAGAACAGCACACATCTGTAGTGAAGTTCAAGAGATAAGGGGTTTCGGGTTGGGGAGACTGAGTCTGGGAAAAGTACAGGCAAAACCGAGATTTCTCCATCGCGCTGTGCGCCAATATGAGTAACCCGGGCCTCAGCTGAGAAGTCCAGCGGAGGCGCCCCCTAGGATGCCAACCCTTTCCCCAGCTGACTGCCGAAGCGGGGTGCGCGTTCCCCGGCGGGTCGTCCCGGCCCGCGCCGGGTTGCGATTGGACGCGGCGCCTCCAGGCGCCTTTCAGAAACAAAAGCGCACTGGGAAGAGGCGGAGGGGGCACGTTCTTGCGAGTCGAGGGCTTTAGCTTTTTCCCGTCTCCCCCCGCCCCTTCGCACTACATGCCGGGGTTCTCTCTGCAGCTTGCCTCCGCTTGCTCGCGCGTCCAGGCGTTGGCGCAAACCCCGCCGCCGTCGCTCGCGCGGGTTCCCGCCTCAGCCTCCCCGCCTTCTTCTGCGCGCTCCGCTCCCGCCATGGAGCCAACTTGGGACGCCTAAGAGTTGCCGCCTGTCAGCTGCGCGCTCTCCAGCCAAAGTCGCCGCGGGCGGGATATGGCTTAGGGCACAAGAGGGGTCAGCCTATAGGTAACGGCAAGGGGTGAGAAGTCGGCTAACTGAGGAAAAATAGGCCAAACGATGAGTTTCCACAAGGAGGACGGAGTGAGCAGCCTGTGCCAGAAGGCGCTGCACATCGTCACCGAGCTGTGCTTCGCGGGCCAGGTGGAGTGGGAGAAGTGCTCCGGCATCTTCCCCCCGGACAGAGGCAGCCAGGGAGGAGGCAGCACAGGTAACCCGCGGAGGGCTCCACTCGCGTCCTCGCGCCCCGCCAGGACCCCGCGCGCTCCCCTCCCAGCTTCGGTGTCTGGCGCCTCCCGAGCGGCACTGGGGGCATCTTTGGGACGCCGCTCCTTCCTACCTCGCTCCTTTTCCCACTCATCAGCCGGCGACTTTGAGCGCTGGTTGTCCCGGTTTTGTCTCATCTCCACCCATCCGGCTCCTTCCACTTCTCTGGTCTGCTCCTTGCCCGCCGGCGGCGTCTGGCGCCCTGGCTCCTTGGCTCCCGCGCCCCCTCGCCGCGCTCTCCCACGCCTCGCGTCTCCCTACCAGAGTGGAACGGCGAGCGCGGGCGGCGGCGCCGGTACCGCTCGCCCAGCGCTACCCGCCGGGTCAGCTCTCCTACGGGACTCGGGCTGCCCCGGCCCATCCCGGGGGTCACGGATCGCGGGCTTGGGGAAGGGGTCGGGCGGCACAGCCTGTGCTTGGACGCAAAGAACCGCCTTACAAATGGGGCTGCGGGGGCCTCCAAAGGCAGCAAAGATCCCGGAAGGGGTAACCCGCGGCTGCGACCTGTTGAGCACTTGACAGTTTCCAAAGCCCTTTAATATATATGATTTTCTAGGGCTTCATGACAAAGTTGGTAAAACAGCAGGGATTATTAATCGTCCATTAGGCGACAACTAAGGCTCAGAACATATTTAGGGTAAGAGGAAGAGAGGAGAAATCCTTTCCACACACACACTCTCATATGCACCCCAAAACACAGGCATCTTCTTACCCCTTCAGGACACTTGAAAAGTAATGGGGTGGGATGGGGAATATCGATCTTGAGAAATATGGAGGTGAAAAGAAATTTTAGGTGACAGATTTTTTTCAAGAGGGAGGGAGGGAACGTATGAGAACCACTGTTTTGGGGACAGAGGTTTTAACGACCTGCGCCATGGTTTGCGCAGCCTGTCGTGTTATTCACATGGGAGAGATAGACTCTGGATTTCTGGGCCGCGTGGTTTCAAAGTCCCTCGTGAGGGTCACTTGTTGCTTTGGGAGATTAAACAAACACTGGTTTCGTGATTTTCGGCACTGGTCTGGAAGGCTGCCATTCCTTTAGTGGTGTCTTATTTCTTCCCCTTAGCTTTGTTATCATTTTAGTCTACTGGCGGGGCTTGGTAGGTTGAGGGTAGCCAGGGCAACAAGTAAGAGCTGGACTTCTAAGCTCAGGAAGGAGCGCGACTGTAGTGAATCCTGTGTGCTGCTGGAAAGGAGGTGTGGAGGGCACATTTAGTGATCCACTACCACCACCAAAATCAAAGGGAGAGGGAATGGGAATAGTTTTGGTTTAGCTTTTACATACCATTATTTAAATAGAATATCTGCGGGATTTTCTAATTCTCTGATCCTGGCAACAGGAACCAAGAGAGGCTTCAGTCTGCACTTGGCAAAACCTGAGGAGATGCTGCTCCTTGGACCTTGGAGCAGAGTGATACATAATTGGTGCTGTCCACGTGCTGGAAACTTAGACATTTTGCTCATGTATAACCACAACAGTCTTCTTGTTCAGTAGGTATTAAATTCCTAGGAATGTATGAAACTCAACTATTACTAGAAGCAACTGGATGAACATGGTAAATATGCACGTTATGCGTATGGTTGCTAAGCATGAGATAAACACTCATTGTGTGACCTTTAAATCCTCTGGTGATATTGGATAAAGTCTTCTGAAATGTCTTTAGTAATTTAAATGCTAAAGACTGAAGAAGGAGTACAATGGAAGAAATGAGAGTATTTAAAGACCTTTTTTTTTTTTTTTTTTTTTTGTCATTTAACAGTAGATGCTGTGAAGAAAAATAGTAATTTTTCCTCCTCCTTCCCCTTTTTGTGATCATACACCAAGTAGTGGTTTCCTGGGTCTCAGATTGGCTGGTGATGAAAATTTGTGGAGGCTGGAAACCAAATAGTACTAGCCTCTAAATTTTTTTTAAAATATACAACTCTATTAGCTTAAGCTAAAACACAATACTGTATGAGTTACAGAAAGGATCTGAGCTTGCCCTAAGCACTATAAGTAGTTGTCATCCTAATTTTTTTCAAACTTTCCCTTGGGAAACAAAGGGGGTGATTAGACTAAAATAAATACATTTTTCTCCCCTTAAGGGAAAATATGTACTATTCAAATGGGGTATTTGATTTAAAAATGAATATATATTGAATGGCTATCACTAGAGAAGACACTCTACTAGGTTCTATGTAAGATATAAAGATGCACAAGATTGCATTACATTTTACGTTTGTAAATCTATGCACCAGAAGTAAAATACTTTAATCAACAAATGAACTCCAGATATTAAGAGATATCTATGAAATAGATTCAAAGATTATTTACCAAATCTTTAATTATATTAGTCACTCAGCTTTATGTTGTGCTTTAAAGTAGATTTTCTTATAACTTATTCATTTGTGTCCCTTATCATTGGTCCCAAAATAATACTTTCAGTAGGTGATCAACTTCTACTCACTGTTTGTTTAATGAGAAACACATCGTTGGTAGGAGGCCAGTGACATTGAATGGTACAGTGGTTATTAACTTTGAATGTTAATCGGCACTGCCCAGATGGTGTCAGTTACCTAAGGTTGCAGTGACAGTTGCAAGCTTCTAGATTGTGTTTATTTTTAGATTCCTTCACATAAGGGTAGAGGCAGAGAAATTCAGGTAATATCAATTAAAGTCATTCTACGTTAAAGAAGTTATAAATCACATATATATGTAAGATATCCTGCTGGTTTTTAAAATGCCTACAAAGAGCAAGCTTCATCATCCTCTTTACCATAACAGCTGAAGCAGAAGCAGCATTAGTGATATTGACATTGAAGATCTACAAATCAAGTTGACCAATCTCGTATTTCAATAAAATTTGTAAAGACTTAGACTGAAGCCACCAACACAGTTAATTTACTCTTGAAATAATTTATTACAGAGATTATTGATGTCAATATCACTAATACACTAAAAAGTTCATAATGTATAATTTTTTTAAATCATATTTTACAGTCTTTTTACCACTGATTCTCCTCCTCTTCTTAAATAGTTATGTCACCCACTAAGTTTATCTTAATACACAATGTGATTTAATACTAGAATGCTTAGGAAAAATACAAAACAATATATTGGCTTCAAATGTTATTTTTTAGGTACATTGTGACTAAATATACATAATAGTTTTTTAACTAGATTTGGGTTCATTTCCAGTCAGTCTTTAATTGCTGCTTCATATCCAAATGCTTATGAAGTTTTAGGAAACTATTTAGTTTGAAAGGCAGACCTCATAAATCATAGCTAACCCACTCCACTTAAGCTCACAGTCAATCACAGCTGTATAAACCTAACCTTAATTTAAATATTTAAAATAAACATTTAATTTGATCTTGCATTTTACACATTTAATGTTGTTCTAAAAGTTTTTCTCTGTGATTAAGGCATTTTAAGTCTATCATAAGGGTTTAATATGAGTGAGAGGGGACATCATAGGTTTTCTCTACAGGCACAAAGCAATGATTACTCAATTTACGTATAATTTTTACATCACTGTACTATTGAGTTTTACATATTCTAATGATTGTATAAAGAATTACAAGTCAGAAACATGGTAGAAAATTTTCCTTGAGACTTGTAGGTTTGGAAAAGAGTAACTGAACCACAATGAATTCAAAATTATAAACCCATTTGAAGAAGGATATATGAGAGGATTTTTTCCTTCCTCCACATTGTCACTCCATTGAAGAATGACCAGCTTCTATTATTCTAGTGTAGTTTTATTTGATCATCAATACATGTTGTGTTTGGTCTCATTTTCTCTAAAGGGTAAGAGACAACTACCTTCAAAGGCCAAACAGGTCTCAGCAAGCATCTAATTTTTTAAATTCTGAAACATCAATATTTTGGCAGTATTACCAGGATCTTTTTTTTGCCTTAATCTTCTTTTTTTCTTGTGACAAATTAAGATCTGTATTTCCTCTTCATATGAGCAGTGATTCTCTGAAATCTGATTATTATAAGAGTGCTTTCATATACAAAGTATACAGCTATGCATTTTATTCGTTTAATCACATTTTCTTTAAAATTCAATCATTATAATTTTGTTTTATGGAAAAAATGGTCATTATTTGGGACACATCTGCATTCATTACAAACTTTTTTTGTACAAAATTCTGTCAGAAGACAAACATTGTCATAAATGTTTAGCAGAATTTCCAATGCCAATTAAAATTATCTATATTTGAAAATATAATTGTGGTCTTTCTGATCTACATTGTATTCTACTAATGATGTGTTTATTAAGTCAATAGAATGTAAGCTCTTTGAAGGTAGTGCTATGTTTACTGTTTTATCCTCAGTGCCTACAAAAATCTCTCGTTCCTAATAGAATCTCAATAAATATTTGTTGAAAGAGTGAATAATTAAATTAATGAATTTATCTTCAAAGGGCCTCAATTTCCTTATTTATAAAATGATGGGTGCTGTTTAATAATCTCCAAATTCCTTCTAAAAATAAATGTATATATTTGTAGCTCCAGTATCTAATACAGCATCTTATGTAGATAAGCATCAAAATATTTAGTTATAATACTGTCAAAAATTAGAGCACTTGAGGCGTATAAAAGCTAGAACATAATGAGGAACATACTCATGAAAAAACAGTGAATACCATGGCTAAATTTGCATGGCATAACAAATATACTGAGTTTACTGAAGTTCTAGAAAAGTGGGAATGTCTTAATATATCCATTTACAGTGGTAAAAGGAAAGCCTGTTAATTTGCTTAAGTAGAAAGTAGCTTGGAAAAAAATATATTATTCAAATTGCTCTTAGTTATTCTAGTTAAAACTAGAAATCATCATTTTGCAGTTGTGAAAACTAAGGTAGGAAAAGTTAGCAACTTCTCTTCAAATCACAGCTAGTTATTGATGGAGCCAGGATAAGAAACCAGGGCTCCTTAGATTCTAGGTTCAACAAAA